CACTCCAATCTCGGTGACCCCCCCCCCACCTCTGCAGCTGTCGGAGGTGTGGACTTCAACTCCCAGAATTCCCCAGCCAGACATGCTGGCTGGGGAATTCTGGGAATTGGACGTCCACACAGCCCAAAGGTGCTTTTCCAAAAGGCAACTGGACTTTCTTGTTCTGGTTTTTTTTTCCTAGGGTTGCCAGGTGTCCACTATTTGAGCGGACAGTCCACTTTTTTCACATTATGTTCACTATTTTTTTTTCACAAAATGGACATTTTTTTTATTCAAAAGCTTTACGATGAAATGGTACGTAATCTAAAGCTGTACAGTCTACTTTTTTTTACTACTTAACCCCCCCCCCCCGCTTTTTGGAAGCAGACCTGGCAACCCTATTTTTTTTCCCCTTGAAAACGTCCAGGAAGACTTGAAGTAGCTTCTTGGATGAGAAGCGAAACGTTTTCGAAGAAAAAAAGAAAAGCGAGAAAGTCCAGCTGCCTTTTGGAAAAGCACCTTTGGGACAAACATCGCTTGGATGCTTAGATAAACAAGAAGTCCACACAACATCTGACAGTTGCTGAGGATGGGAAACAGTGCTGCAAGCAGTTGAGTTGATTCAACGGCGTAAGAGTGCCACAACTGTGCTTGGCTTAATACACCAAAAATCTCCCATTTCCCCTTTATTCTTAAATGAGTTTATGAATGGAGAGCAAATGAGATGAATCAATGGGAAGGTCCAGGGATGGGGTGCCACATCTGCAACAGGCGGAAGTCCCTGACCAACCAGCTCCTATCAGCCCAGCAGGGTTGAAGTCAGCCAACACATGACTTTAGGCTGAGATGTGAGGAATACTTGCTTTAAATATAGAAATGCCATTAAAACCTAGGTCTGGGTAATGGACAATTTAGGGTTCCCCAAATTTCCAAGTGAATACATAAAGGTTCCTAAGATAAGCACTTTATTGTGATAAAATGCAGTTTCCTGTCTTTCTTTGGGAAGCCAAGTATTAAAGTAGCACATTTAATATTTAAGTCTTTTTAAAGGATGTCCATGTCTTGTTTTTGATCCCCTGAAAGGGCAGAATGCCAAGGCCAGACCACCTTGTGGATCACCTGGAGGTGGTGACCCTGCCACCCAGTCACTCAAAGGTACTTCCTGTGAAGAAGTATGCAGAGCAGTTTCATCTTCCTGTCCACATCTGGCCAGATGTAGGTGCCTGTGAGAATTTTGACGTTGGCGTGGTGGCATCATTTGGACGTCTGCTTAGTGAGGACCTCATCCTAAAGTTCCCCTAGTAAGAATTATCACAAACACACACACCCCTACTCATTTTCTTAGCGTATTCCTCACACAACTATTTCTTTTATATTAAAGGAAAGGGTGCCTTCTATAATGTTTGATTATATACAGGGGTGGAAGGGCCAAGCTCCTTATAACAATTCCTGCATAGGTATCTAACTTGTAATGTTTGCAACTAATGTCATCTAGTGGGCAAATTTGCCCATAAATTTACTGATGCTTCTAAAACTAAATTTCCAGTGCAAAGTGTAGGGGGATTGAGGAACCTGTAGCACTGCAAATGTTTCTGAGTTGCAGCTGTCATAAACTATGGCAGAAGAAGCTCAGAATTGCTTTCAGTATTACAGGTTGATACAGTTTCCATGGCCATAGAGTTTTATGGGAGTTATTCAAATCAGGCATCGACCTTACTACTTCTGATCAAGAATGGTAACGATTTCAAGTTCCTACAATTTTTGCCTGAAATTCAGCTAATATATCATTCTCATTTTTCCCTGGCAATGTTTTCTTTTTCACTGTGCTAAAATACTTTGTTTAGTGTTTTTAATAATCTCTTAAGGTTACATTCTTTACTGATTTAGTCATGAACAATTGCTGATATGCTTTGGGGTAAAATACGCATAATAATCAATTTAGAATGCAGCCATAAAAACAATGTACAGGCACTCCTCATGTAGCAACCACAGTTGGGACCAGCAACTCGGTCTTTAAAACAAAGCATTCAATAAACCAGAATTGCAGAGATATCAGTAAAAAAAACACTGTCAAAAATTATTCTTTCCTTCTACATTGCATTATATATTGTGCTTATTACATTGCTGAATTTTTAACTAATTGTTTTATCATAAAAACGTCTGGAAGTCACTTTGAAATCCAGCGGCATAAAAATACAATAAATGAAAATGTTACCGAATTGCAAGTCTTGTTCTAATTTCCCAATATTTTGACACAGCGGCATGCTGAATGTCCACCCCAGCTATCTTCCGCGGTGGCGTGGCCCTGCGCCAATTGTCCACACCGTGCTTCATGGAGATACAGTAACCGGGGTCACAGTTATGCAGATCAGACCTAAGAGGTACGTTGGCTGTTTCATTCAGCATCCAGTCTGCAAAACACCTGGCTGTGAGAATTATTAAGCAGTGAAACAGCCTGCATTTCTGAAGTTGTGTGTGCTCCATTACTGGAGGTTTTCAAGAAAAGACGGGACAATATTTTGCCCAAAATGGTTTGAAGATTTCTGCACAAGGCATGAGATTGGACTAGAAGATCTCCAAGGTCTCTTCCAATCCTATGATTCTAAGATCCAAAGCTCATTACTAAAATCCTTTTTTAAATAATTGTATCAATGCAGCAGTTGGGTTCTCTGTTCAGTCTCTCCACTACCTCTTTCTAGGTTTTTTAGATCCCATGTAGAACCTGACAAAAAGCATATCTGCAATATGTTTTATTTCCAGGTTTGATGTGGGTCCAATTATAAAACAAGAAGAATTTGCGGTTCCACCCCGTTGCTCAGCAAAAGAACTGGAGCCATTGTTATCCAAGGAAGGTGCGAACATGGTAAATGAACACCTTTGTTTAATCACACTTAGCCCGGTGAAAACACTTGCGGGAGATACAAATAAATGCCAAAAATGTATTATCAGTTGGAAAGCACCTCTTCTGGGCCCATTGTAATTTTGAATAGTCATTAAGCAACCGGTCTTAAGGATTATCTGTAATAAAATCTGAATTTCTCCCTGAGAACTTAAAAGAAGGTAGAATGCAAAGACTGGTGTTTTTCAAAGTTGGCAACTTTAGTGTGCATGGATTGCAGCTCTTAGAATTGCCTAGCCAGGATTGGCGTAAACCATTCTGATAGATTTATAAACGCCTTGCTATAATACAACTGTAATACAACCTGGATAGCTCCTGAAGCTATTTCACTGGTTATAGCCGCCTAAAGTGCAACAGTCAATTTCTAGTAGAGGGTTTGAACCTCATAGAATAAGATCTGGCTACCTATATCTGACAAATCCTAATAAAGATGAAATCGGTTCATTTACTGCCGCTTGGCAATCCCTGTTGATTAGAAGGAGAATCTGTTCTTCATTATACACATTCTGGATTTTTTTTTTCTCAGCTGATTGCTGTTTTGCAAAACTTACCTGAAAGTTTAACCAAGAAGAAAGAACAACCCAAAGAAGGAGTAACAAACGGTATTTATCGCAAGTTTCATGTGTAGTTTAGATATTAATTAGCTATGATCTGAGCCATTGCTAAGTAAACCGTCGTAATACTTTTTCCATGATTCCCCTGCCTTCCTTTCTCCCTATTAAACTCGAATACTT